GTATCATCAAGGATTATATTGACTGGATGACGAAACGTGCAAAACATCTCACTAGTAAACTGTAAGACATAGGTTTGAAATAAATTGTTTGTATTTTTGAACTCGCTGATTCTCTTTGGCTTCATGGTTGGGATGTTCTATGAAAGTACAGACCACAAATCCAGAAACATCCTTCTAGTTCGTCTTAGGATGAATTTGACTCCTTCAGCGACTTCAATCCATCCTCTACATCACTAAGACGAGAATGCATCGTTGAGAGAGGTTCCATCCGTTCTACCATAGCATCGAGACGAGATCTCGACTCCAACAAAGACTTGGTTCGTTCTTCGACTATTTGAAGACGAGACAGACCACTATTATGTGGCATTACTATTTCATCCATGCCATGATTTGACATATTAGAGGCTGTAGTTGGAACTTCGAATTCAACACCATTAGATTGACTGCTCATACTGCTGTCTCCTTCTTCAGCAATACATACAGCAGAATCCAATGATGATTTCGTTGAAATAGTCTGGAATGGATCCTTCCAATCCACGCCCAAGTCCATAAGATTGTCGGCTGATGCTGAACATTCGGGTTGTTGCTGAAGTGATGAAGTCCTTTGGGGAGTATCTACGAGATCATCTGTATATCGAGTACTATCATAGGGACCATTTGTTGATGGTTCTGTTAGATTAATTTCAGAGAAACCATTTGGCTGCCTGTAACTGTTTTGCTTTGTGGTGCATGTGTAGGAAGCAATCCTGGCGGCGGTGGTGAACGACTATGGTTTTTACGAGTGGAGGACTAGATCGAGGCCGATTCTACCATTATTCCTGTGGCGCCAGAGGATGGAGAGTGCTGTTATCTTGTGTCTAGAAGAAGGCTGGCAGAGTTGGGTGCGAGGAATGGCCTTGTGCATCTTAAAATGAATGAAAATGACCACCTATGGCAAGAAAGACAGTCAAAAAAAACCTTGTTTAAAAGGTTGTAGAATCACTCCAGACATACCAGTTGAATAGTGAACGGCGTCTCCTACCATACTTTGAGCCCAAGTTGACATCCCACCTTGATAACTGCAAAGATTACACGTACTGAATTCTACTGAATATGAGTCCTCTCGAATCTTGAAACGGACGGACAAAACATTTGCGTTTGGAGATGTCACCTTCCAGAGATCGAGAGGAAAGAAATGTCATCACAATAAAATTTATGTTACATCTTGCAACCTCTCAATCGTCTTTCGCCGGAAGGGAGGTCAGCACGTCGATAGGGAGGTCGGCACAGAAAGGCGACCCTTCACTAGCCACCTAACTATTGAATGGTTACTTTTTTTCCACACATTCTTGACCGCTGGATTATAATGCGAAATTATGCGCTTGAAGATTCACAGTTGTAGATATTGGGAAAACACATGACCCACATGCTGCACCTTCGTACGCTCTCCCCCTCTCAATTTTCGCTGGGATTGAGAATCCAAAATATCGCGACAAGGCACAAGATCTTCTTTGCAAACAGTGGCGCACAGTATTCCAAAATGGCTTCCTCGGATCCTCGACCTTTTGCAAATGGTCGAGGATCAATTAAAGAACTGGAAGACAAACCAGACAGCATATTTGGTATAACTTTGTTTCAAGTTTGTTTCAAGTGCCTTTTGTTGCAATTTACACTGTTATTCCGGTGAATTACATGGCTAACATAATACCAAACGTTTCGATACAGTTATTGGATCGGTCCAGCTCCGTGCCACCTGTTTGGAACGCCGTAAAACGCCTCGGGACCCATAATGTTTTCAGGCAAGAATCGCTCAACAATTCGACCCTTATCCTATCCCAACACAGTAGTGACCAAAAAATACAGTTTCCATCCGAAGGCAATGAGTTTTGCGTCATAGAATTCAGCAGTGGTGTTCGCGTCGAATGTGATTTGGCTTCTGATTTGACGATCGTCAGCAACTCCATCAACAGTACGTCTTGAAATCCTTTGTATTCAGTCTTCACGTTTTGCAATTTTGACGCTCTTTAAACCGTCCATATTAAACTTCACTCACTTTAGATTTGGTTCAAATGAATTGATCTACATATCTTGCATTGCAACTCGCTTTGGACAAGCTCCCAACGGCCAAGGATCCTGTTCAAGTTTGGATGGTTACTGAAGGTGCCTTTGATTGAGGAAACGAGCTAAATCTTGCTCAATCCTTGAGGCAAACGTTGAGGGAACCGTGAAGGTGTAACTAATTTGTTTCTAAGTACCTTTTGTCAAAATCAATAGGGTGTCCTCACTACCGTCTTGGGAGACGGTCAGATTGATCAACATGAACTCCAACGTGTCGCATCTTTTGGTCCAGTTTTCATGTCCAAAGACTTTCAAGAAGCTATATCCCTCGTCATATCTGGAAAGACTAGCATTGAGGAAGTCAAGCTCCGCACCTGTCTACTTCATAAAACCAATAGTATTGCGAATCGGGTGGCAGTCCAAGTGGAGGTAAATCAACATAAATCATCATTTGTTTCAAGTGGGACAAATTGTAGTGGGTCGAACCGACAACAGTGTCTCATTATTATCGCTTTTCTTTTTTAAATTATCAATAACAGCAAGATGACGATTAAGTCTGACACTCGGCTCTTCACAGCTGAAAGATGTAAATACTTCAAAAGAAACGTTTACCGCTGGTCGAGAGATCGAGCGAGAAGGCTCCCTTGTTGTCAATTTGGCGTTGTAACCTCTTCGACAATATTGCTTGGGATACCGAGTCGCTCTTCGTGAATTTCGGGCTCGGTTTCAATTTGGTAAACTTTTCAATCTTGTCTTCGATCTGTCAATCTGAGAGGACTGTCTCTCGTACTCCGCCGGGCTCCAGAAGTTCTGCCAACTTATAGTGAAAATCAGCCGTCTGGATCTCGATCTGCTCCAGCTCTTGTAATTAGCATTCATTCTCGCGTCATCATTGCTATTCGAAATGTATTTAGCACTGCAGCCCTCTTACCTGAAGAGTCCCAGCTCTCCAAGCAAGATCGTGATCGTTTTGAGGAGTGGATTGACGATGATTCAGATTCTCGAGGTAATGTCCTGAGACAATCAGCTTAAATCCTTACTTTTAAGATCTTTGACCCAAAAACGAACCATAAAAAACTTTTTCTTTGTTAGAGTCCAAGGCCATTGTGGAAAAGTATCTCAACTACTTAGATCACATTGGTGTATCTCATGATGAGGATGACTTTTTGGAGTCTCTGTCTGGATTTGGGCTTGCGGTGAACCTTTGTCTTGCTAAATTAAATCGTGCATCTGCTCAAACTACTGTGGTACTAACCGTCTCACCATCTGAAATGGCTTCAGTTGACGAAACTGAAGTAAACGATGGTCATGAGAGTGACAGGTTTACTGAAGATGGAAGTGTTATCAATGCTTCCGAGTTTGATCAAGATTGATACAGTAATTGTGATATAGAGTAGAAGGATTAGAATCTTCTTGGTGTAAGTCTTTGTGGCCTAGTTGTGGTTTTCCCAAATCGTCAAACATGATAAAAAACGGTTTTCAATTCTGTGTGAATAAAATTTCAATGTTTCTCCAGAAACAACTGCTCAAGTGTAAATCGTGTTCTCTTGTACAGAAATTTATAGACCTGGTTTCTTCAGCATCCCTCTAAAAATATTTATAACAATCCTCTTATGCAGCAGGACCAATAACACTAACCACCCAATGACAAATTCGATTGAGCGTTTCAGCATTAGTATGATCCTTTGTCAACCTCATAGCTCCACCATCCGGCTGTGACATGAATGCCAAAGAACCTATTCATTTCGATCCGGTCAGAATCTGGGAGGCAAACAGCAGAAGACGGTAGAGCTGACCAAACAGGACTTACAATTCTTGGTAATGATTTGAGCTGGTGGCAGCTTAGCAGTATTGGACTCATCGTCAAGAACGACGTCATGTTTCGAGTCAGCCTTGGCTGCATACATCAATACTATATAACGACGGTCGTTTTCAACACCACCAAATCGAGCGGCTAAGTCAGCATACGCCTTTCGATCACCCATATCTATACGATTCGTGGTTCGATGACCTACTATAATGACAGCATCAACCTCATCGGAGTTGCCACTACTAGCCAAATCAGCAACAGAACATAATACAAATTTAAAGGCGAGTCTGCGGCTTGATTGCAATGGTTTGAAGAGAGAGTCCAAACTGTCCTTCAGGTCATCCAGTACTACTCGGAGTTTAGCATTCCCCTTGACATAAGCAATAGCAAGAGTCTTCCAAGTGATGGGCAGAGGTTTCTTGTTTCGATCATATGCGTCAACAGATTTAGGAACTTGCTCCTCTACATGATTGAGCAAGGGGGAAAAATGAAAACAGCGTCATATGACATTGGGAGAATCTCTAAAGCTCACCAGTAGAGCACCACTCCTTAACAGTGTTGATAGTGTTAATTGCCGATTGTGTCAGCAGCCATGCTTTTGGCTTCTTCAACTCTTCATTCTCAGCTACCAGATCAGCTTCACGACGTTTAGCGTCATCACGTTCCAATGCTAGTGTCTTGAGTTGCCGGGACAAGTCTTCGACCTTGTTGGTAAGAGCACGGATTTCTTTATCGGTTTTTACAGCATGATCAGCTATTCGTGTGTTCAACGCAGCCATAGTACGTTTCTCCATAGCATCGAGACGAATTTGAGATATCTGGTCCGAGCCGGCAATGGGAGATGGTTTTAGTTGTGGTTGGGTAGCAGCACTAGATGAATTACTTCTGCCATTGACAATCGATGTTATCTTTCCAAACGTACTCTTTGACTTGTGTTGTGCCGGTGGAAGGCGACTATGATTCTCAACAGGTCTGAGGATATCCGTAGGTCTTCGTGTATTTGACACTGAATATCCAGCAGGAGCCAACTGATTAACATCGTGATTCTCACATCCATCCATATTGTCGTTCGACTTGAAGTTGTCGGCGTGTGCTGTGGGTACATTTTCGGTTGGTGTTAGTGTCTGGGCCACATTTACGAAATAATCCGGAGGATACAGAGAGGTTATAGATCCATAGTTTGAATTTATAGAAGTATTATACTTGCCGACAAAGCTGTCAGAAGATGTCTGGTCGTGTGCTACATTGCTATCCACGAATGGCAAGCCTGTATCGGTACTAAATCCAGATGTTGTCGAGCAGATAGCGTCTGGTGCTCGTAAACTATTTAATGGATTGTATGCTGGAAGTGGCGTCTTGCCTAAACTAGCATTCCGTTGGGAAACTTCTGCAAAAACACTTTGCGGCGGTGTCGGTGAAGAAGCATGTACATAGAGCCCGTCTCGATAAGTGGATGGTCCTTCGTCAGGCGAGCTATAACGACCTATTTGCAAGCAAGTATCATTAGAAGTGTGCGGCTTATAGGAAAAACTGTTCCGCAACATGCCCATGGAAGTCATATCGAACGCAGCCCACTGGATGTCCGCCATAGATGTATCCGTGTATCAGGATTTCAATACCAGTGAAAACTTCTGTCAAAGCAGATTGATATGGCATGTGCTTGCTAATTTGCTTTGGAGGCGTAAGTTTTGACACATGTGACTTGTGTTCAGGCGTAAGGGCGTTTGAAACGAGCTCCAAAACAGGCAAGAACAAGTTTTGCTCAGTAATAATATCAGGCGTTATCTCGGGTTACATGCTTTGCTCGTGCATTATTTTATATTCCAAAATCCCAAAACATTCAACAACATAGCATTTTGGACGCAAAATGGATTCAACGACTACACAGTATATCAGGCCTCTTCGTATGGTTAAAGATGACGAAAGTAACTGGAAAACAAATCAAACGATTTATTTGGTAAGGTTGCTTGCTTTTTAACTCCCTACTAGTAGTAGGGAATGTGCATTTTGCAAGCAAGGTTACTTCTAACCTGCTTGACACCCCCACAACATCTAGCTTCTGGACGGTTCAAGCTCTGTTCAAAAATGGTGGTCCGATGTCAAGCGGATTGGAATCCACATTGTGTCTCAGGCAAGATACGACATTGTTTGCTTACTTTAACACCTCTGTCCACTAACCACAAACCAAATCTCATAGTTTCCAGCTGGTGGTGGCAATGAGTTCTGTGTCATTCAATTCAGTGGTACCGCGCGCATGGAATCTGACTTCAGCTCTGATATATTGGCTGTCAGCAACTCGATCAATAGTAAGTTTCGCAACCTCTGTGCAATTACGTATCTCGCCGTTTTATCAGTATTTCGCATTTTGAGACACAAAGTATCATACTGATTTTGTCACTTCCTAGATATGGGCCTCATGAATGGCGGAACGAACGTTCATGCAGCTCTGCAACTTGTGCTTGAAAAGATTCAAATGGGAGGTAGTAACGGTCGTACTCAAGTCTGGATTGTCACTGATGGTGAATACAATGGAGGGGATCCTTTCAACCTTTCTCAATCCTTGAGGCAATCGGTACGAAGTCGATTTTCACGAAAAACGAGAAGTTAGTTTCGCTTGCAAATGCTCTCTTCAATATCAGGGTGTTCTTACTACTGTCTTGGGAATTGGCAACATTCATCAAAATGGCTTGGATCTTGTTGCTTCGTTTGGTCGAGCCTTTATGGCCAAGGACTTCAATGCGGCCATTGACCTCGTCAAATCGGGCAGAACCCAATTTGAGGAAGTTAACCTTCGTGCCAGTTTGCTCAAGGAATCAAATCGTATTGCTGGTCGTATTCCTTGTCAAGTGGAGGTAACGAGTTCGTTTCTTTGGAAGTGTTGACCTCCATCGACAGTAGATTCTAATTGTTATCCTTCTCCTTTTTAAGATCACGAATCACACCAGGACAACTATCCAGGCAGACACTAGGCTCATCATCGCGGAAGATCGCAAATACTTTGAAAAAAGGCAGCCTCGGATAGGACAGACTATTGAACGAGACGAGACTGTCACCGTCAAGTTCGAACTGGTACCATTACCTCAGTTCCAATGCATGGATTTTCGGAATGCATTACGTGCGTTTCCGGATTCCGTTTCAATGAGGTGAGGCATCGTGTGTTTGTCATTATTGTTTTGTTGCTGAAGATCATTTGCTTTTTGAAGGCTCGTCGACGGAACCGCTTTGAACGCAAACCCTCGTGTTTGCGAAAAGGCATTCTGCCTTCCACTCGGTATATTAGCTGTGCGCCTTTTCACGAACTTTGGGGTTTCTTCTAATCTTGAACTCGGGTTAATAGATGCATTTGCTCAAGACTTATTTGATGCTTGTATCCCAACTGTTACAAGTCCGCGATACTATATTCCTCCAGTCAAGTCATACAATGTCAGCCTTATGGGAAGACCTGGAATCGGCAAGGTGAGCAACGAATCTCCATCGACAGACTCAATCTTTTTTTTCTGACTAGAACTTCCCAATTAATTAGAGCTCATTCCCAGCTACCTTACAAACAGCCCTATCGATATACCCCCAGCCCGATATTCTCAACACTGGGCGTGGGTCTCGATCTACTCATCATTTCACTCAGCTGCCACCTGATCCTAACAGCCCGCTATCCAAGATCTTGGCTGTGTTCTTTGATACACCAGGATATGAAGGAAACGCTGATGCAACCTCCTCAGACTACAAGGGTGTTTATCTGCCTCTCTTGCTTGCTGGTTTGGTGCCCAATAATACTGAACTCGTTCGGGCGGGCCTTATTAATGGAATGGTAGGTTTTGTGGGAACTATTGGAATTGTTGCAAAAAAGCCTGATCTGATGCCTTTCTAATAGTTCCGTTTGGAAAACATTGAATTTGATCAACGCTTGCCTCTTGAGGAATCTTGGACACGAACAATCCATGTTGGAGTTCTTTTCATTCATGCTAGTAGTGTTGGATCAGACAGTCTAGAGTATGAGCGCAATGTAAGAACCTCGCTCTTCATGTATGATTGCATCACCAGACTCAACGGTTGAGCATTTCTCAAGTACCACAAATTCTTACGGAATCATTTCAAACATAGCTTGCCATCGAATGGACAGTAAAGCACAACCGTGTCTTGCTTGTAGCCATCACGAACATTGACCAACGCTCGGACGAAGAAGTCAAGGGTCTTCCAGCAATCGTTTCCACTGACATTGGTATTGACGAGCAATACATCTTCCCAATCAAAAACTATTGTGCTCTTCGAGGCAATATTGAAAAGAACTTTGATATGGACAAGATGGCCTTCCAATTGTGCCATGCTATATTGACTGGTGGAGCTACCTTCTTGAAGCGATGGCCAGATACTATCGATCGAATTGTTAAAGCTCATGGTTAGAGTTTTTGGTTCTTCTTGAAAGTGCGTTTTACCGTTAACTAATTCTTTGATTCTCCTTTCAGAGGAAACCTTAAACCACTTGCAACTCCTTCCTCGCCCAGCTCCGCCTCAACCTCAAGCACCACAAACTCCGTCCAGAGGTACGTTATTTGAATTACTTGCTTAGCATTGGCCAAACTCAATTGAATGATCGCTCACACAAATAAGATCCCGTCACTTTAGCACCTGAAGCTCCACAGCACTCGTACCCTACTCCAACACCAACTCGTAGATCAACTCCTACTCCTCCTATGCCATCACAACAATCAGCAGCATCCGAGAGAGCTGCTTCACCTACTCCATCTTGGACTCCCGAAGGTCTACCGGCATATAATGAAGAGCTAGCTCAACCTGGATCCTCAAGCTCAAAGAATGTACAGGTTACCGCTGCGACTCCTCCAGCAAATGAACCACCTGCAGCACCTGCACCAGCACCAGCAGTATTGCAGCCTCCAGCTACTAGTCAGGTTTCTTCATCTGCTGCACCGTTACAACAGCAGCAGCCAATGGTTAGTCTCCGCTCTCGTGTAATCACTGCAGTCCGAAAGAACTTCAAGACGGCAGCGACCTTGCCTAATGAGTCTCGACTCACAAAGCATGATCGTGATCGTGTTGAGGAATGGATTGATGATTATCCAGATTGTCAAGGTATGTGACACGCATGTCTTTACCTTTTTTGCATTCCTATTGATGTGTTTGAATGAAATCTCAACCTTTCATTCTTTTCTCGTAGAATCAAAGACCATCACAGCAAAGTATCTAAACTACTTTGATCATAATGGTGTACCTCATGATGAAGATGACTTCTTGGATGCACAATCTGGCTTTGGGTTAGCTGTGAATCGATACCTTGCTAAGTTGGACCGAGCAACTCGTCAATTGCCCGTGGTACCTTCAGTAGCTCCTTCAGAAACGCTTTCAATGGTCGATTGTAATGAAGTCAATGAAAATGAAAGTTACACTGACACAGATAGTATCCTTGATGAGCTCGAGTATGAGAGAGTTGATCAAGCCTCATAAGCTTAGTCGGATCTGGTGGGTGTTGGGAGTCAAGTGAGTTTGGTGCACGGAGGAGCGAGCGGTTGGGAAAGATTCGTTTAAAAGTTCCATAATATAACAAAAAGATTTGTAGATGTTGGATAGAATTGTATTGTATTGACCTAGCTTGAATTGGTTTTATGGAATTTTCGTTTCTTTTGCTACACTCGTTCACTAAACTCTAGTTGTACTCTGACGAAGAATTACCGATAACCGTAGTCGTCCATTGATAAACTTGACTCAGAATATCCGTCTGATCCTGGTTAGACCTCATAGCACCTTCTAAATCCCAATACGATCTATTTCAAAAGAACTTGTCAGTTCATAGATCCATAGAGGCTTCCTGGAGGATAGCTTACATTCCGTCCCAGCAAAGTAGCTTGGCAGACAATACTGTGGGCCATCAGCAACATTGGTTTGTCTCGGCTTCAGCAAGACAAATAAATCTACGACTCTTTTCAGGACCACCAAATGCAGCGAGCTGATGGCCGCATTTGGTGGCCAGCCGTTCAAGCCGTTCATACGCCTTCCCAAAATCTGAGTCCAAGCCATCTGCAAACCCTTTACCTAGTATAACTACTGCATCAGCTGCGCCAATGGCATTGCTACTGGTCAATTCTGAGACTGATCGGACAATCACTGTAACGTTTCGTCCACCTGCTTAAAGGCGAATGTCAAATTATCCTTCAAGTCCTTCATCAACATTTAGAATTTGGGACGCCCTTCGAGATATGCAATAGCCCGAGTTTACAAGTAGCAGATAGAGATTTTTCGTGGTACATTTCGGCAAATGCAGAGGCCAGCCACGACTTGGGCAATTCTTCGAATTGAATCAGTTAGATGTTAATGGAAATTTGAGAATACTGAGAAGACGTTTCAAACGATTACCTTTCTTGACATCATGAGAACCTTTGACGACGGTTCTCAAGGAAGCCATGGAAACATTGGCCAAGTCATCATTTTCAGCCAGGGCTTAAGCTTCACGACCTTCGACTTCACCACGTTCCTCCTCTAAAAGTTCTGCTTGTCTAGTCAAGACATCGACTTGCTTACGAGGTTATCGGTTTTAGGAATAAAATTTTAATCGGTAAATTGTTTATCGATTCTATCAGCACGTTCTGTCGAAACGTGAGGATGACTCCAACAGCGCGATTCGATCCTCCATAGCATCAAGACGAGAATGAGGATCCAGACCTGTGTATCTGATTCGCCACAGCATCTAGACGAGACGTCAACTTCATAACCGACTTTACATCTGCCTCTATAACATCATGACGAGCCTCCGAATCCATAAGAATCCATGCGCATATGCAGACTTCCATCACATCAAGACGAGACGAGCCTCCAGGACCGACTTCATCTGCTTCTCTACATCAGCTAGACGAGACAGTGCCTCTTTGAGTGACGTCAAACCATCCTCCATAACCTCGGGACGACAGTGTGTCTCAAGAAGCGACTGCATCTTCACCTCCACAGCTTCAAGACGAGATTTAGATTCCATAAGCATCTCTACTCGTTCCTCTATACCTCAAGACGAGACATGATTTGCATAAGGCAGTGCATGTCACCACCGGTAGAATCAGCGGGAACTACATCAGCAAGACGACTTCATTTACAACACGATTTATCGGGAAGCACTGACGGTTCCAGAACTGGCCCTGTTGTATCGTCCTGACAGCTGCTATTAGCACGGATTGTGCAACCATGAGAGATTCAATTTGGCATCTATAGCTTCAAGACGAGACTGAGAGTTAGATGCTAATATTTCCTGTTTGGAGTCGTTGGAGATTGCAGGGTGAATAGTTTTTCGGACGTCAGATCCAGTGGCATTGGGTTCAGCAGTCATGGCGTTTGCTGCATACTTGGCGATTCGTGCGTCGACTGGTGCCTTTCTACGTTTATCAATATCATCGTAACTGAGTTCCGACCCTTGCTCGGGTTTGTTGATCCTCATTCTTGTAATGCGTCCAATGGTTTTTATGTTTGGAAATTTGTAAGGAATCCTATCACGTAGAGAAGGATCTTCCATTTTGAGTTCACGTCAAGCCAAAATCACGAAATCCTTCGAAACCAGAACATCTCCCACGACACAATTCCTCTTTGATTCGTGTGCAAAGTCCTCCTTCAACATTCCCAAAATAACACCAGAAAGCGGACTCTGCACGTAAGAATCCAATATGGCCCAAGACTTGAAAGGAGGCGAGTACATCGATACAATGAGTGACTTGAAGGGTGGAGAACTACTGACTCTGCCAAAGGACGGCACCAAGTTTTATGTTAAAACCTGGAAAGTGAGTTTCGTTGGCTTTTAATGTCGTGATCATTTTGAGTGTTTTCTTTTGAATCTCTGTCCATGAGGTTTGAGACTTGATACATTCTGACTGATTGTTGATTATTATTTAGTGTACCGGAACTCCTATTGCTGTTGTCTACCACTTTCACGGAATGGGCGAGCACATTAATCGGTATGCTGAATTGAAAGTCTTGGAGAGGCAGGAGGCTTTATCTGACATGTCGCCCTAGATACGAGCACGTCTTTTCAGCCTTCGCTCAAGCTGGATTCGAAGTCAAGGGGTTGGACTTCATGGGACATGGACGAACTCAAGTTAGTTCTCATCGCTCTGCTGTCTTGCTGTCGATTATGAATTGACCAAGGATTGATTCTGTTAGGTCGTCAACAATTCAGTTAAAGGGGCGACTGACTTTGAAACAGTCTTTGCTCAAATGGACATGCTCGTGTTTGGAACTGAACACAATCTGCCAGTTTTCTTAATGGGTCACAGGTATCGAATGCATTATCTGGTTTACAATGCCTCGTCATCAGTGCTCATACTTTACGCGACAGTTTGGGTGGATTGCTCGTATTGGCTTATGCTCAATCGCGTGGGCCTCGAATTCCAAATCTTCGTGGTGTTATTTGTCAAGGTAAACATCAAGCGACTCAAATATTCAGCTTTGACTTCAATATCAGTGTTTACTCAAGTTATCTAATCCTTCTCCTCATATCAGCACCTGCCCTGAAGGTCATTCCACTACCACTCGGCATCTTAGCCAAAGGTCTAGGTGGAAACGTATTAAAACACTTGCAAGCTGCAAATGGTCTGGACGTTGCAGGACTCTCCACCGACCC